AACGGTCAGCTTCTGTCCAGAGGTAAGATGGGAAGGCAGAAAGGGTTAGGAACTGGTTGAATGGACATGGGGAATCGGATGGAATGGAGGAGTGTGCTGTCACAGTATGGGGAGAGCAGTTAGAGTCACATAAGTATGTATAAATTTTTGTATGGGAAAAATTTTTAAAAAAGGGCTAGTTCAGCTCACCACACAATCACAAAAGTGCGTTTCCTTGAGATAACCTTCGTGCTGCAGTGTGCAGCAGAAGTACTTCATCCAGAAGTGATCAGGGTGGGTGTTTGTGTTTTTGTTTAAAGTTAGTTTTGACTGTCAGACGGTGGACATTGAAGGCCCACAGTGTTTTTATGTGTTAATTTAAAACTCTTTTCCAGTGAATAGTTGATGAATCCTAAAGAAAAGCAAAATCCCAAAAACCCATTGCCGTCGAGTTCATTCTGACTCATAGCAACCCTATAGGATAGAGTAGAACTGTCCCATAGTGTTTCCAAGGAGTGACTGGTGGATTTGTACTGCTGACTTTTTGGTTAGCAGCCAAACACTTAACCACTGCATCACCAGGGCTCAATTTCTGCAGTGATTTCATATTAAAATATAAAATAGTTAAGACATTTGTGTATTTCATAACTGGAAAGGATATATGGTAGGTTTTTTCCTACCCATATTTCCCAACCACCCACTTTTCCTTCCTAATAACAACTACCGTTAGCCAGTTTCTCCTATGTCCTACCAGAGGTACTCTGTGCAGCTACAAACGTGATATGTATATATGCATGTATGAATGCACATGTATTTTAGAGATTGTTCCATATCATTTCCTAAACAGTTTCCTTATACTTTTATTGGTATCATCAAAATTGTCGTATCATTTTCAACTCTCACCAGCTATAGTTTGAGGATAGTGTTTTTTTTCTTTACAAAGAGAATTTGTACATAGGAAAACTGTACAAGTAGAATGTCTGCATACCAGATATCAAAGCAAAAAAAAAAATTCATTGTGCCAAGGTCCTGGGACTGAAACCTACAGTTTTAGGAGGAAGTCACTGAACTGTGAGTGAATGGATGATAGAAAAGAATAAGTAATGGTAGAGAGAAATCGTTAGACGTGTCAAGTTATAGGAGAAAGTAGAAGGAAACTAACACTTACTGAGGGTTTACTGTGTGGGCTTTAATCTGACCACAATGCAGTGAAATAGGTATCATTATGCTCATTTTATAGTAGAAGAAACCAAGGCTTGAGGATAATGCTCATGTATGTTTTGAAATCTGGAATTAACTTGCTCTGGAAGGATGGGCGTACTTTGATTTCCAGAGCTGGCTTTGCCATGGAAACACAGAAAACATCTTGTTGTCTCCACAGTGGAAAGAGGTCAGAAGATTAGTGAGCAGATGGTCATCGGCACCCCTGGGACTGTCCTGGACTGGTGTGCCAAGCTCAAGTTCATTGACCCTAAGAAGATCAAGGTGTTTGTTCTAGATGAGGCTGATGTGATGATAGCAACTCAGGGCCACCAAGATCAGAGCGTCCGCATCCAGAGGTAGGAACTGCTTGAGGAAGGAGGACGTCCTCAGCCTCCTGATCTGCAAGTAAATGTCTTCTTCTTCTGTGTTGTCTTCTGTTACGTCTAACCCTCTTGTCTCTCCAACCCTCTTTTCTCTCATGCTGTTTTCTTTGCTTCAGAACCTTCAGAAGCATTTGTTTGATAGGCCATTTCTGTGTCAGCACTGACCACCATACTCCCAAGCCTGGGTTGAAAAAGAATGTTTAGGGAATCTACTACCACCCATCCTACCCCATGTCTTCTACCCACTCCCTGTGGTGCTTCGTTCCCCCTTGCACCCTTCCTGGGGCCATCCAGGTCTGGGGAGGCCATTCTTCTACTTTTACCAGTGAAAAACTCGGGATCATGCAAAATACCTGGGCCTTGCCTTGCAGGATGCTGCCCAGGAACTGCCAGATGCTGCTTTTCTCTGCCACCTTCGAAGACTCTGTGTGGAAGTTTGCCCAGAAAGTGGTCCCAGACCCAAACATTATCAAACTGAAGCGTGAGGAGGAGACACTGGACACCATCAAGCAGTATTACGTCCTGTGCAGTAACAGAGA